TCATGCTAAACGTCTTGAAAGATTTTTCAAAATCTTTCTTCAATAACTCTCTACTGAGCAATTTGGTCAATCCAAGCTCCTGATTTTTTAATACACTCGAGAACAAGAGCATACTGGAAAAAATTTGACTAAACAATGTATCTATTCACTGTGATATCTATAAAACCAGATAATTTAGCCAGTTCTACACTCTCAGATAATTTAGTAATGAGGTGCTTCCACACAGGTCGGCCCACTTTATACAAAACTTCTCGCCGCGAAAATTCCATTTGTCCCATCTTGTATCAAAAATAACCTAAAAGTCTCGCTTACGCTTTTTTGAAAAAACATGTGGAAAGTGGTTTTCTAGACACTCTAAGTTTTTGGTGAGGGTGAAACCGAAGTCGGTGAAAATGGACGAAAAATTGCATAATTATACATCAAATTGTAGCTCTTGACGAATTGATTCTGATGGTGAAGAAATTCGGTCTCGATCTAACTTTACATTCGAGTGGTACTCAATATACTTGAAAAAGTCCTGAAGTTTGACCCCGATTTTCTCCTAAACGCTTCGCAAATTTTTCGAGATTTTTTCAGAATAGGAACTACTCATTAGAGTAATTTTTTCCAATACTTTTGATTTAATGATGGAATTGAATACATTAGAATTGATATTAAACAAATTAATATTTGATAAATACTTTTGTTCAAATAATATATAATCTAAACGTTGGGTAAGTTGAAAGAGTGAGTGAAGAATTTCATCAGACTTTAAATAATGGCACAGATCGATCAGACAAAGATCGGATAAATCATCGAAAGTAGTCATCTAAAATTAATCGATAATTACAATCACTTACAAATATGAGAATCGAAAGATTTATCTTTCAACTACAAATCTAAAATATTTGTCGACTATTCCACAATTATTATAAAAATGAAAAGTTTTTTCGATAGCATCTTTTATTAGGAAAAAATTGTCTTTCTCAATAGTATGGCATACTCTTTTTATGAAAAGATTAAAAGAATAGATAATGTAATATTTTATGTACAGAGTGGACATTTGGATTGACAGCCCTCTGTCCTTTCCATTATAATAATCGGTCAAAAGTTCAATATAGAAGTGGATGGAGAAATATGAAGAAAGAAAAAAGTTCGTTATTTGTTGTTATATGACGAAAAGAACTATCTTTATCTCTTTAGACACATGAGAGAATGTAAAAGTGTAAGTTTTGTTATGAGTTGAAGGTGTGTATACCATCGGCTCTTATGAAATTATTATTGTTTTCTTTTAATCTTTTCATAAAAAGAGTATGCCATACTATTGAGAAAGACAATTTTTTCCTAATAAAGATGCTATCGAAAAAGCTTTCCACTTTTATTATAACTGTAGAATAGTCAACAAATATTTTTGAATTGTAGTTGAAAGATAAATCTTTCGATTCTCATATTTGTAAGTGATTGTAATTATCGATTAATTTTAGATGACTACACACACACATACATCGCATAAAACAGTCATAAAACAAACAGATTGAGCAAACTTTTGTTTGGGTAGTCGGCTTAAGGCCCCCCGCGTCAGAAAGACAAATTTTTTTCTAAAAAGTCGATACTGAGCTAAACACATCATCAGACAGCCCATGGTGTCTACTATCAGAATCCATAGTTATTTGGTCTTCATCAAAGGGGTATGAAGGTTTTCAGAAAAGTTTTCTGAAAGCCTTGAAAAACCGACTTTTCAAAAAATTTCACCTGCCGATAAAAGATCAAATCCAAAAATAGTTTCAACAACACTAAAATGTAGAGCAAACATTTCTGATCAAAATGAAATATTGCCCAACTTCAGATGATGTTTGAATCAAAAGTTATGAGGGTTTTGCTACAAGCCCTAAAATATGTATCAAAAGCTAGCGCCACCGTATCTCGAAAGCGACGTTCACCTTGACAGCATTTCGTAGCTGCAACATTTCTCGGTAACGAAACGTCGTTGAGAGGTGGGATTGGTCTTAAACTGAAGCTAATAGCTGTGGCTAGAAGCTAATAGAGGCCGATTTTTAATATTCAGTTCTGAGTTGTGGTTAGAGAAGCGACTTTTTCGAATTTTTGACCTTTAACGCCTACTATTTTTCCAGAAAGCAAAATAGAGAAAAGCAAAATTAAAGATGTGCTTAAAAGAGATTTTCGCAAAATCTTTGCTTTGAAACCTCCAGAAACTTTTAATTTTAGTTGAAACATCATGCTCGTATGCAGTTTTGATGCTCTTTCTCGTGAAAAGTTGAGATCAAATTTCTTTTTAAATCAGAACATGAAATTTTCTGTAGTCATTGGTTGATGTTTGAAAGCTAGTGATAGAATAGTTATTTAATTATCTTTTAATTTTGGTATGATATATATTGAAAATTGGTAGAAATAGGTTTGATCCCGGAAAAATGGCAGAATTGATCCGATTTACAAAAACTGATACAAAAAATGCAGCAGTGATCCTGTTGAATTTGTTCTATAGTTGTGATCTTGTCCTTTCCCTTTTCTTCAGTTCTTATCTCCGGTCAATTAAATTTTTATTCCTCCTACAGAAATGATCCCGGTTGCTTGGTTATGTTAAAATCTGTTCTATAAAGGTAGAATTATACGTACAAGATTTGAATGCGATTTGTAAAGGCTGGCAGTTATCATTTTTAACTCTTTTCTGAACGTGAACTGTGTCTCTTTTACAAAAGCACGTAGAAATTGAAAAGCATGTTTTACATGCTCAAAAGAGATTGATCTTTTGAACTGTATCAAAAAGGATAACGTGTGTAAAAATGGAAGGAAGACGTTATTGATTCCATTTAAATGTTTGAAATACAGAAACTTTCACGGTGTATGCACGCATAGTAATATGGGTCAGTCCCAAGTTTCCAAGGCTTACGCTTTTCCGTAACTAGAGAAGCGGTGGTAAAACATATTTAGTCTTAACTTCCAGCTTCACAATAGAATGAAAAAATGAATTTGTTCTTTCTTTTACGATTTTATATTTTAAACTCACTTTGTTTTCTAACATTATGAAAATATATTTACTTTCATGTAATAATTTTATTTTTTCTTTCTTTCCAACAGCAGTAACATGACACTTCATGGTGAGACATCAAAATCAAAAAAAAAGCTTTCGCTACAGCAGAAGAAAAAGATTATTATTAAAACTAGAATATCTTTACTCCATAGTTGACCTTACTTTACTTACTCGTATCCCACGTTTCAATCCTTCGTGGAATGTTCTGCAGCAGAGTTAAGACTACTCTGATTATAAACTGACTTGAAATCTCATAGAACAGTTACATTTCCCAGGTTGAAAGAATCGTACTAACATAAGATCGTACGAGAAGTAAGAAGTGATATGATTCGTACTGTAGGATATTACGATTTTTTATAGTACGATTTTGGCACTGATCTGATTATATAACGGTCAGGTATTTCGTATGAAATCGTGCAGTACGTCGTACAAGATCGTTTGGCAAAAATCGTACATGTTTCGTGTCGTACGAGTTTCTGTGATTGAACCGAAATGGTACGTGTTTCGATAATTTCTTTGATTTTGCTGCGGTTAGAAACCGCAGCAAAATCAAAGAAATTATCTGAAAGCAAAACATTCTCTAATCCTGTTGTGTATGAGACAAATATAGAAATCAAATCAAATTATTTCTCGTGGTTTTTTACCACTGTTTTTCTCTCTAGAGATTGAGGACCAATAATGAAATATATTTGGCCGAAAATTCAACGTATACATTCGAAATAAATAACTTATACTTTTGGTGTGCAGAGCAATTTGTTCCCCATTGTTAAGTTATATTTTTTCCTGCGTTCCCAAGTTTGTTTATACAGACTAGCCGTATGCGTACTCATAGAGTTTGACCAGTAGAGTAAGAATACATATGAATATAAATAATAATTCTTGTCTATATTTAGATACATAAAAACAAAAAAGTGGGGTGGGACTTTTGACCGCTACTGTACTTCACTTTTTCATTGTTGAAATAGTGTATGTGAAATCCTTCTTCTAGCAGAGCCGTGTGAGAGCATGAAGACTCTCTGTTCACGTCAGCTCGATTCTGAATTTAATTTTTAATGACTAAACTTGACGGTGACTATCGACGCTGTGAAACGCGTTTGAACGTCCGGAATGTGACAAAAAACACCCTGCTAAATGCGTTAGTTTCTATGAAAAAGTTTGCCTGGGTTGGCGTACTCAACACATTGTTGCCTTTACTGAATTTAGCTGATGAATCATTTGTCTTGCGTATACTGTGCAAAATATACATGATTATAATGATGTGTAAAAACCGACGGAATTAATGCATACATGTCTTCTACATGACGCACAAGGTATGAGAGTATTTGATTGATAATGGCATTTGCAGCATTGTGGAATTATTTATTTTGGAATTAATTATTTATTATACATCAATTATCTTTCATAATCTTTATTCTGTATCTTCTTGGTATACTTCAATTCTCCAAGACGAAGATTCAACAGTGTCCAAGTGGCAATCTTCTTTACTAGTGTATATACGAGTCCCGATTAACTATGAGTATCAACACGAGCCATTTTACTTTGTCTTGCTTCACTCTTGCTAATAATGTTTCTTTAAGATAATGTATCTATCTGTAGTTAATTCCTCCACTTTTGACACACTCATCTTTATCATACATCATATCCTGACGCTTCTATGGTCGATATTTTGATGAAGGCTCATCAGTGCTTCAAATGGTTTCACTCATACTGGACGATCCATTATAAGATCAGTAAGACCATTGTTCCTCAGCCGCCCTGCTTCATGAGTTTCAAAACACTATTGATCAACATGGTCGTTTTTTATTAATTAGATTAGTTAATCAGATAAAGATTATACACATAAAAAAAAGCAGTAAATAAAAAAGAAAATTAGAAAACTATGAAAAATTGATATTTTAATTAATTATTGTTTTTTACGTTTTGGGTTTTTTTCTTCTAGATCAAATGGTATTCTTAAATTTGCTGCATAAACCTATAATTTATTAATTGATGTGATAATTTCCTCAACGTCAGCATCATTATCATTTATGAATAATATTTCTAAACGTTTTTTAATCAATGATTCTTCTGCAACATCTAATAATGCATCTTTAATATATTTTACAAGTGATGCTATATCACGTTCAGGTGAATGAAAATTCCCATTTAAATGTTGTTTTAACTTTTGTATATACCAACAATCTGTTTGATCACAATTTAATAGAGTTTCCATCTTTTTGTTGAAATATTCGTATAATTTTTTTTTCTCTTCTTTATTTTTAATCGTTTGTGCTAATTGTTCTAATGTATAAATATCTGAATGTTTATCATGTGATAAACATTGTAAAAATACAACTTTTGACATCGTTTTATAACAATTGTTTCATTTTCATGTAATTCACGATCTTGAGTACACGGTGCAGTATTCAGAATAGAAACTGCTGTATCTTTCTTCACAAAAATAGGGTATTTATTTTCGTAGGTAATATCAGCTGACATTGATTTTGAACTTATTTAACTATCTAAAAACAAAAAGCAAAAAAATCCATTTGAAGCACTGATGAGTCTTCATCAAAATATCGACCACAGACAATTTTATCTATAAGCGTCACGATATGATGTATGATAAAGATGAGTGTCAAAAGTGGAGGAATTAACTACAGATAGATACATTACCTTAAAGAAAAATTATTAGCAAGAGTGAAGCAAGACAAAGTAAAATGACTGGTGTTGATACTTATAGGCAAGTGGGACTCGTGCAGTGTTGTTTTCATTCACCGTTTTATTCGTACAGCTTTTTAAACTCACAGCGCCGAAAAAGTTGGAAAATCAAGTTGTAGATGTGATTCTGGCTTGGTGTTTTACTATTTAGCTGGATTTGAGACTTCGACGGACTTCCTCAATCACCAATCAGGCTGAAACGGTGACTTTTCTCTGTCAGAGATTCGGTAAAAACAAAAGTTAAAGTCATTTAGATCTGGGCTTCATCGTTTTCGTTTGTTATCACTACAGTCATTTAAGTCTATTTTAGTATCATGTGACACTGCACTGCACAAGAGAGAGATGTGATACAAAGGAAAACATAGATATTCTTGGATACGACAGATATGAATGTGGTTAGATACCACAAACGAAAGAAAGAATCTTTCTTTCATATCCTCGAAATATACCAGGCAGTTTGTCATAGTTCCAAAGCGGACGGGAGGACATATTATTCTGTCCTGTGGACACCTCTGGTGGTAATAGTATAAAATCATCAAATCCGTTTTGGAGCGTTTCTTTTAATAATTTACTCGTACTACTGTCAAACTGCAAGCAAACCGCAAATCTCATTGAAATCAGTAACTATGATGGCGCAGGTAGGTGCCACCACAAGACGTCCCAATCTGTATTTTGACAGTCAAAATTTTACGCTTATACTCAAAGCTAATTTGCCTTTGTGAGAATAGACTAAACTGAATAATAAACTGGTCGCAAGACAGACAAAGGCAAATTCGCTTTGAGTATAAGCGTAAAATTTTTGACTATCAAAATACAGATTGGGATGTCTATCGAGATCAATTAGCTTTAGTCGACTGGTTTTCTATAGTTCAACAGTACTCTTCGATTGATGATAAAATTAAGGCCTTCTCAGAAGTATTTCTTCAAATTGCTGATGAATATATTATTCACAAAACTGTCATCATCTCATCTCATGACGCACCGTGGTTTACTGAAAAACTACGTCTGTTAAATAAAACTAAACAAATATTGTACAAAAAGTATGCTAAGTTTCACTCTTATGCTGATGAAGTATAATATAAGGCTGTAGCATCTGAATTTGAGAAACAATGTGCGAGTGCCAAAGCCTCCTACTTTTCTCGACTTTCGAATGGGGTTAAAAATTCATCGAAAAAATGGTGATCAACTGTGAAGTATGCCTTAGGTAAAACTAAACAAAACTCTACTCCATCTCTTCTAAATCCTCTGATTGGTAGTCTAGTTAATCACCCCAAAGATAAGGTAGAAGTATTAAATGAGCATTTCTCAGCTATCTGTACATCACAGGTATACCTTCTAACCATCAATTTCCTATTCCTCTGTCTTCAGCAGTAAACATGAAAGATTTTAAGTTTTATACATCGGATGTATATGCTGTTTTACGTAAAGTCAACTCTAAAAAAGCAGTTGGTACTGGAATTACTGGCAGAATGTTACTGGAGGGCGCTTTTT